CCCCCCCCCCCCACAACTGCCATAAAGGATCAAAATTTAACAGTAGGTAGTCCCATCTGCTAAATTGATCATTTACTGATTTTGAAATGCCTGTTGTCTAGGGGCTTGGAAAAATACATAATGTCATTATAGCTTCTTTGTGTTTCAGGAAATTCATTGTCTGCCATACTGGAAGGAGAAGGTCGGTTAATGTTCCTAAATAGAGGGGAGGATTATGTAATGACCATGCCATATGCTCATTGTAAAGGTAGGTTCTTCCCATTCAGGAGGTAAAAATGTTCTAAAAATAGAGATTCTCCTAAACTGGATAAGCTTGATTTAGACACAGTCTACTGTAAAGTGAAGGTGTCTGAATGTGTATAATACTAAGTTATTTTAATTCTAGGTGTTCCTAGTTTTTAACAGAACAAATACATTTTTATATTGTGTTATTTAGCTATAGTACAGAATTTCTGTTTTGATGAATTTTGAAGCAATCCTATTTTAATAGCAAAAAAGTACAAATATGCTTGGGGTTGCATTAAGAATAAATAGCCAAATCAATCAAGCTTTTGATTTTATTACCTGAGCTGTTTCACTGCTTTTCTGACCTAGAGGTCTGGATATTTTTAACTAGTTTTTAAATGCTGCTTGGCTCTTTCCCCACTTCCAGTTTTTTCTCCTGATCTAGTTTTACAGCAGTATATATGAAATCATATTTCTAGCTGTTGCCAAAGTGTTTATTTTGTTTACTTAACAGTGTACATGCCTATACATCTTCCCATGCACTGTTTTATTTTTATCTAATTTTTACATCATTCTTTCACGGCCAAGCCAGCACTTCAGCTTTTTTATTAGCGACCTTGCTGCTGGTGATATTCTTGAGAACTGAACTAAATGTTTAATTGTCTCATTGAAAGTTAATATTTCCTTGAGGCTCCCCAAAATTAATGAAGATGGGAAACATTTGTTACTCTGTTTTCTAAATTGAAGAGAATATTAGAGAGACTATTCAATGTTTATAACTTTCAAAACGTCTGTCAAGCCTGATTATGTGGTTTTGCTAATGTACAACTGCCTGCCTATAGTCACTTCTCAGTGGGAAATATGTTGGTGTTTTATAAGACTATTTGGATTATATGATGGGCAGTAGGACACACGTGGACTAGAATGACTCTGGTTGTAACACTATTTGCTCTTTATCCAGTGTGTCCAACTATATATTCTGCAGCAGAGGTTTGCTGACCACAAGGCAGAGAGGCTGTCACTTCTGAAGAAGTTGCTGCATAGTAAAATAAGAAATAGAAATGAACTATGCACAGTTGAATGTTGGAATGTTTAGTTATGTTTTTCCCCACTTCTCTCCGGGTTGTTCTTAATGTTTTGTTTCATGCCAGAAATACTGTGTGTTTGTGTCAAACCACACAAAATAATATCTACCTAAGGTACAGCCATATAAGTCCTTAATAGAGTTGCTGTTTCCCTGCTATCAATACTACTACTCCTGTAATCTTATGTTTGTTTAGCTTGAATAACTATGTGTATAATTTTGGTGTATTTTAATTTGAAAATTGTGACCTATTTCGCTCCTGTATGTTGGGAGCAGAAAGGGGTGATTTGGCTCAGTCATGGGAAGACATGCTTTCAGTAAACTCATCCCCCACACATCATATTAAGACCACATTTCAAGTAAGTTTTTCATCTGGTGAGACCCTACTGATCAAGTGAATTTCCTTTGCTTACTTGATTAGCAGGATATTTATCTGTCTGCAAACTCCTGTTAGCATATCTCTCTTATTGGTAAAAGTAAATGTCCCTCATTGAAGTCGGCAACGTGTACTTCCAAAGCAAGCAGCTCTTAATTCGTCTTTCTTACAGGGAGTCCAGCTGGGTGTGGTTCAGTTTTGATTACAGTACTTGAAACACTGATAGGCAGCCCATAGTCCTGATTTAGGGGAGGAGAAATTCTGAAAAAGAAGGGCTTTCTTACCTGTCTGCACTATCAAACGCTGAAACATTCACTCTGAAGTTTTTGAACACAGAATTTTTTTGTGTGTGCATTTTTCTTTAATTATGTATAGAAGGTGAATGCCCATTGAAGGGAATTTATTTTCATCTTGTAAAAGATGAGCTCTGCTTTTCTGCAGGAATTCTTTATGGCACAATGACTTTAGAGCTTGGGGGAACTGTCAACATTACATGTGAGAAGACTGGATACAGTGCAACAATTGAATTCAGATTAAAGGTCAGAAGGTTTTTATGTGGACAAGTGGGTGCAATAAGTACATTTTAAATTTGGAGAGAACTCTTACCAAGTTGCTATTTAGCATTTCCAAATCAGTCTGTGGTACCTGTCTTTAACTGCTGCAGGCTTAATTGTACATTAAAAAATGTATAACTTTTTTATATAAACTGCTACCTACAAAGCCACGCAAATCTAGCAAGTAAAATATCCTGCAGGATTAATACTGATGTGGATCACTAGTTAGCATACTCTGGGACTTTTGAACAAGATGTGTACTGGACTTAAAACTCTGCTCTTAATGATACAGTGTGCATGTGCTGTGGAACAAAAGAAGCACTTAAACCAGTGGGGTTGGGGGGGGGGTTGGCTCTGTTCATAATAAAATTCAAGAACCCCATTGCCTTTTTTTTTTAAAAAAGATGAAAGGATGATTTCAGTGGGTTGACTAACATTCTTCATCTTTAAAGTTGTTTTTCTGTCCAAGGCCTTGTGACAGCTACATGGATTATAGAGTAGCTGCTATATTTGCTAATTTAAAAAAATCTTACAAATCTCTTTAGTTAAATACAAGACCAAAAATGGATGTGTAAAATCTTTCCATGCTATTACTACTTTATAGATATCTAAATTATGCTCTTTGCCATAAAGAGTCCTCATGCTTTTTAATTGGGATGATACACTGAGATGCAACAACCCCTCAAGTGACATGTGACAATACCTCTGGTAACAAATTGCTGCCCAACAGTGTGCTGTAGTGTTGCTCTCTTGCTGACTTAGAGGATAGCATCATTTGCTAGATCGCCAGTGCTGTTTCATGCGGCATTCTGCAGGAGAGCTCATCACATCATCTTGGCACAGCTTCTGAGAAATGAGAGGATAACAAAAGAAGCTGGTCTGGCTGGAGGCCTCATTCCATGGTTTAGATGGTCACAGCGCACGCCTACATGTGTCCCTACGGCACAGTTGTTACTGTGCCATCATTTAGTACTTCCTTTTAGAAATGCTAGATGATGGTGCAGTAACAGCTGGTACTACGCCATGCTGGCAGTGCACAGTTATTTTTTAGCTGCTACATTGCTATAGCAGTGTGCTATAATGAGGGAGTGCATTGCTACAGCAATGTAGCTGTGGTGTCATGGTTTGCACCCGCCGATGCTACGTCTCCATGGTGCGTTGCTACAGTGACAGTCTTAGGCAGTCTGCGTCCACAGACTTAGATTGAAAGTAATCTGGCTTGTCAAACCAGTGACATGAGAAATAAATCTTCTTCCTCAGCTTGCCTCCCCCTCCAATAACTTGTCTTGTACACAAACATTGTATTAAACTAGAAAATAAACTAATATCTTTCTTTTTTATTGTTTTATTTTGTAGCCATTTTTGGGCAACAGTGATAGTGTTAATCAAATATCAGGGAAAATTAAACTGGGCAAAGAAGTTCTAGCTATTCTGGAGGGTCATTGGGTGAGTAATGATTGAGTTTTTATTTTATAAACTTTGCCTGTAGTTAAGAAATTACAAGTGAATAAGAATCTCCTTTCATATTTTTGGTAAGTTTTACCTAGAGATCAAGCTGTCATTTTGCCTGTAAAAGCTGATGCTTAAGAGCTGCATCTTTATATTGACTATCTTGCTGTATAAACGCAGCTTTCAAGAATGTCTGTACAATGTAGATAACAAGATTTGTTTGTCACTATGTAGCTCTCTGCAAGGGAAAAGTTGTCTGGAAAGAGTGCATTGTACCTGTGAAATAATCAGTAGCAATATCTTACAGCATGATATAATTGATATGATTACAGCCTAATATACACCTAGAAAACAAAGGGCTTGCCTATATCAGCAGGCATCTCTGTAGCCCCCTCGTAGAGATGTAGCATATGGTGGTAGAAAGGATTTTCCTGCTGGTGGCTGCACCACCACTCCAGACAATGTAAATTAAACCAGCAGAAGCCCTCTTCAGTTGACAGAGCTGTCTCTAAACTGGGGGGTTTGCTGGCATAGCAAAGATTTACAGCATAGTCCAGGAGTTCCCAACCTTTTTGGGTCAATGTACCCCCGCAGCTGGATGCAGAGTGGGGTGGTGTGTGGCTAAACATGGAGTGGTGGCAGCTGCTGCGTACAACTTTCCCCCACATCTGGGCGGGCGGGCAGCTCCTGATGATGCGTGGCGGTGCTCCATCCCTGCCCACCTGCACGTACCTCCTAGGGCCTTCTCAGGTACCCCTGGGGGGGGTACACATACCCCCAGTTGACAACCCCTGGCATAGACCATGCAGGAGTACTGGAGTTCATAGCTGCATCTACTTTATTAAGTTTTGAAGCACTTTGGCTTTGTTGTAATAGTAGAGCCCCATTAGTCAATACACATGGGCTTTGATAAGCAGTTAGTTTAAAAAGCATGGAGAAAAATATGCCCATGGTTTTCTGGTTCTGCAAAGGTATATTCTAGACTCCTTATTTTTCTAGGCTATTTTAAAGGATTGAAAATCTAATTTGTACATTTTTGTAGCAAAACCATAATATGTAACGTACCTGAATGCTTATGAGCCATCTGTACAGTAATCTAGTGCTTAACTGATAACAGAAACTTCCTAGAAGATTTTCTTCAGCAGCACTGAAAGAAAATGACTTTGAGAGAGTTGAGGTACATAAGGATAAATCACAATAGCTAATTCAAGGCTTGTGGGATGCATGTCCTAGCTTTGCTGTTTTGTGAAGTTAGCACATAAGAATATGTTTTGTTTAACAATCACTTGCAGTTCACAATCTAAAACTCCAAGCTCAAGTTGTCTAAATAGGTTTTGTGATGTGTCCTAAACCAGAGGGTTTCCTAGATATTTTTAAATTTTAAATGAACTTTTTTCTTTCTCACTGAGGTGCAACCAAATTACTTACTTTAAGGTATAAGTCTTATTCTCTGTCTGTACTGCAGTCCAAGGCATGACTGGGCCATGGGTAGATATACCCACAATATAACTAGTCCAGGTAGCAATAGCAGTAAAGATGTGGTTGCATATACTTCAGTATGAATATGTTCCTAGAGTTCCTGCATTCATTGCTTTAGTTTTCAATACTAGCTCCATTGGAGCTATGGCTTCTCTGGCTGCAGTTGCATCTTCAGTTGAAGTGTACCTTTAACTCGTGCACTGCTACTTGGCATCGTCACATTAAGATTTAATGGGTTTTTGATGTGCTGAATGGGAGGATATTGCAAAAAGCAACTATAAAACAAGTTTTTCTCATACAGTAATGCGAGTGCCAAATATGGAGAAAAGGTTGCAGTCTTGCCAGTGAAAATTAAATCCCAGAAGGGTATGTGGTGAGGGGGGGAGACTTGAAGACCATAAATACTGTAAACTTAAACTAGCTTTTAAAAATGTTAATTTTTTGTACAATATTTTGTAAGTGCTAAAAATGTATGTGGGTTTGTGTCTCTTCCGCTCCCCGACTAGTTTAGGTCTTGAAGGGTGAAACTAAGTCACTCAGTGGCAGGTGTTCTTTCATACAGTCACTCTCCCTTTGCTCAAAACAGTTCATTTATAAAATTGCTTGGTGTAGTCAGCTGGAAAGGGATTGTATCCATGGAATTCCTGTGCATTGCAGTATGATTCTTTTCTGTCAAAAACGTTTATCAACTAAAAAACTTTTATGCATTAAAGTACCATATGTTTAGATAACTTAACAATTTATTAAAAACAAGAAGGGGAGACAGATTTTGTAGTAAAATGCACAGTTCACTGCTACTTTCTTTCTTCCAGCCCATATAAAAGGTAGCCAGGCTTAACTGGATCTTGCCAAAACATACAGACGATAAAGTTTAAGTGAGAGCAGAAACCAACTTGTTTATTTCTTCTGTTTTCTTGGTTGGTGAATAATGCTGCTTTTGATTGCAAAACTATTCTGAGTCACTAAGATGTTAGGAAGAAATGCCGTGTGAAATACATTGCAGTTTTCTCTTGCACATTGCTTAAAAATATCAGTTTAAATTAAAGTTTTCAAGTTAGTGGCAGTAGTAGAAGGAATAAAACCTGGTTTTGAACTGCCTTTGAATATTCCCAGTCAGGTATGGCAAAGGAAATAAATCCCTCTTTTTCCAAGCAAGTGCCTTTTTTGTGTAACTCATTCCTCAGATAGTAACTGGTGTAATTTTACAGTACTTGACAACTGAATCCTAAAAATTACAGGATAGTGAAGTTTTCATAAGTGACAAAAAGACAGAAGTTTCAGAGACCTTTTGGAATCCAACAGATGAGATCAGACAGCGCAGATTAACAAGATACACTGTGAAGTTTGAGGAGCAAGATGACTTTGAGTCAGAAAAGTAAGTTCATTAAATATGAATAGTCCAGCCCTATTCAATTAGCTCCTTTAAAGGATGGTGTGTGTTCTCTATCCCAGTATGCATATGGGAGGATATGGGACTGTTAGTTTAAAAACATTGGATTTGGAGAAAGTGACCTGGGTTCTGGTTCCATTGCAGACATTTGAGACTTTGAGCAAGTAGTTTGCTTTCCTGGTGTGTCTTGTTTCCCAATCTGCATAGCAAGTAAAAACCCCTCTAAAGTTTGTTTAGAGAAGTATTTTGGCTCAGGGAAAAATTATTTGTATTGAAAAGTTTAGTAGCATAGTAAATGGCAACCTCTTTGTAAGCGAGATTCGCTCACTTTAAAATAAATTGATCGTTACTTGCACTTACATATGTCACCTAAATTCTAATCCTTCTACCTTATTTTATTGCTTTGCTAGACTTTGGCAACAAGTGACTCGAGCTATAAACAACAAAGACCAAACAGAAGCTACTCAGGAGAAATATGTTCTGGAGGAAGCTCAGAGGAAGGCTGCCAAAGAAAGGAAACTTAAGGGTGAAGAATGGATCTGCAAACTGTTTGAACAAGATCTAGTTGCAGGGGAGTGGCATTACAGATATGCAGAGTGAGTCATTGGAGTGTGTGTGTTTGCACTTAAAGCTACTCATTCAATATTTAATGAGCTCATCAAATATTGTCCCCTATTCCCTTTGCTCCTTAAAGGGTAGCATGTGTTCTCAATTCCAATATCTGTATAGGAGATTATGGGACTTGGCTAAAAATGTTGGGATTTCTGCCTACAGACATGTGCCCTGAGTCCTGGTACAGCAGCACAATGCACATGCTATGGGAATCTCCTGCAGAGGTATTCCTAGGGCGTGTATCTGCAAGCACAAAGGAGAAATGCATGCCCCTGCAGGGGATTCCTGGCACATAGTTCACCTTGCCATTCCCTGTGTCTGCAAGTGTGCCATGGGAATCCCTCCTCTCCACACACCTCTTCCGTGCACACATATATAGATATGGGGGGGGGGGGGGGGG